CCTCGCCACTGAGCGGACAACTTCTGAGACTGAGATCGGTGGGCAAACGAACCTTTCTGCTAAGGCACCAGTGTGTGCGATTCCCTCTGAACCCTTTGGCAGTTAGTTCTGGTTGCAGGCTCAAGACCAAAGGAGGCTGTAGCCAAGCTCTTTGAGGGACTGGGCCATCTTTAGGCTTGAACCCAGGAGCAAGCTTGTCAGATCAGCCATCTCAAAATGACTGTCCAAGGTCTCGGGCTCCATCTGGGTTTTATAAAATTTTTCTGAATCCTCAGATTCCAATGGAGAGACTTTGACCGTGGATAGGTACAGAGTTCTTGTTGTGAGGGGATATGAATGGGTTACCTTCTGCTTCACCATCTTGGTGGTGTCACTTCTCTATCCCATTCAGACTTTTTATTCTTTTGAGTTGGAGTCTCACTCTGTCACCCATGCTGGAGTACAGTGGGACTATCATGGTTCACTGCAGCCTTGACCGCCTAGGCTCAGGCAGTCCTTCCACCTAAGCCTCCTGAGTAGCTAGGACTATAGGCCTACACCACCATGCCTGACTAATTTCTTTGTAGAGACAAGGTCTCACTATGTTGCCCAGGCTGATCTTGAACTCCTGGGCTCAAGCAATTGTTGCACCTTGGCCTCCCAAAGTGCTGGGATTATAGGCATAAGCCACCATCCCCAGCCCTATTTAGACTTTTGATTTGGGGGATTGTGACCAAGAGATTGTGGATTTGTTTTAAAATGTAATTAAGTGTTAAATTAAAAGGAATTAATTATGCATTATGTTCAGAAGAAGGGAATATCACTGAGGGCTGGTTTCAGAAAGGGGATTTTTGTCTGGTTTTAAAGGTTCAGATAGGACTTTATTTTACTCATTGTTGAATCTGGGGCAACCAGAATAGCATCTGGCATGTATTTGACGAGTAGATGTATGACAGATGAGTAGATCTGTGAAGAGAAAGAGCATTTCTGCTGGGAAACTTCAGACTAGATATAGTCATGGAGGATGGAATGACCTCACTTGTTTGTAGGTAGTGGTTAGCATTCTACTGTGATTAAGGCAAATCTTCGGCAGTAACTGTGGATAGATTAGGTGGGGCCGGTGATGGATGTCTGTGTGTGTGTGTGTGTGTGTGTGTGTGTGTGTGTGTGTGTGTGTGTGTCTTGCACACTTGTTGAGTCTGATGGATGTAGGCGTGATCTGATGGCTCACTCTTCAACGGGATACAAAGGTCCTTAGGTCATGAAAATGGTATGAAAAATAAAAAGTGAGAGGGGAAAAAAGAAACTGGTTTGGAAGGCTGAGGCAGAAGGATCATCGGAGCCCAGCAGGGGTGGCCGTGAGTGTGCCACTGTACTCCAGCCTGGGTGACAGAGTGAGACTCCAACTCAAAAAAAAACAAACAACACCTGATGTTCGTGATGGGTTATAGTTGTGTGTTTCTTTGCAGAGATTTCTTAATAAATGTGTGTACATGAAATTCAAGAGACAAAGATTTGTCTGAAGTTTGAAAAAAGAGTGGACACTGATCTGTGGAAATTGGAAAGTGACAGGGAAGAAGTCAGATAATTTCAACATTTCTAATATTTGGTGATTAGAAATTGTGATCCCTTTGTCTGAAAGAGAAAAATTTGGAAGAGAAACTGGAAAGAACTTGACAAACCCACTAATATGCCTTGGCATATGGGTTGTCTGTAGTCTTAAAACATTTGATATTTGATATCTTCTGTATGCACATGTATGTGTTCACAGATACAAAGTGGGTTCTAGTTCTCATTTAGTCTTCAGCCATGGAGAACAGTGTAACAAGAAATAAAAAAATCTGACAAGGCATGCTATTTCCAAGGTGCTTTTGTATGTGGCTTATTTAAATTTCATTTTAAAAAGTGAAAACTGTGTTGAGTAGCTTTAATTCCCCCTTGCACTTCTCATTATGCATTAGCAATTAACTCTACTTCTCTCAGGTTGATGAATTTGAACTTGATCAATTATCTGATAGTAAGTATTAGCACAGAGTGATAATTACTGCCAAAGTAACATTCTTATTTCATCTCTCCACATAATTCAGGCACTTTTCACAGAGGCATGTTTGTTTCAGTGCAGAGTATGACTTGCTCTTTTGGCTTCTGGCACTGAGGTCAAACTACTTTAAGTTCCTTAAATAGAGTAGTATTGAAAAAAATACTCCGGTATTTTAAATGATGTGGACATGCCCTTCTAGCTTCTAAAAGAAGGAAGGACTTAGGCTCAATCTTTTCTGCTGTAACAGACTCAAAGTTCTCTGATTTTTAAAAATTTCTTCTTTTCTGACCTGTCCTGTTGGGGTCTCACTCTGTCACCCAGGCTGAAGTGTAGTGGTGCAAGTCACAGGCTTAACCTCCTGGACTTGGGTGATCCTTCCGCCTCAGCCTTCTGAGTAGCTAGCTGGGGCTACAGGTGTATGCCACCGTGCCTGGCTATTTTCTATTTTTTGAAGAGACGATATCTCGCCATGTTGCCCAGGCAACATGGTCTCTAACTCCTGGGCTCAAGCGGTTCTCTCGCCTCAGCTTCCCTAAGTGCTGGGATTGCAGGTGTGAGCTGTCATGCCTGGCCTTGATTTTTGGCAACTTCTTTTTCTTCTTTTCAACTCCAGGCAGGGCTCAGCTGCTTCTTTCTCCTCTTGTGTGGTCGGTGGGCATCCTCTTTAGGAAGGTGCATCTCTGCTGCTGTGATTCTGTAGCATTCTGGATAGACTTGAACCACTGAAGGGCCGGCCTTGCCCTTCTGGTCCTTGGCGTTCAAATAAGAATTGAGAGAGAAAGTGTATTAGTCTCCTAGGGCTTCCATAACAAGGTATCACAGAGTTAATTAATTTTCTCACAATTCTTGGGACTACAAGTCTAATATTAAGCTATCGGCAGGGTTCATATCCTCTGAGACCTCTCTCTCGCCTATGGGTGGCTCTTTTCTCCCTGTGTCTTTACATGGTCTTCCCTCTGTACAGGTCCGTAATTCCTTCTTCTTCTTTTCTTTTTTTTTTTTTTTTTTTGAGTTGGAGTCTTACTCTGTGGCCCAGGCTGGAGTGCAGTGGCATGCTCACAGCCACCGCAGACTAGACTGCTGGACTCAGGCGATCCTTCCACCATGGCCTTCTAAGTAGCTGAAACTACAGGCAAGCGCTACCACACCCAGCTAATTTTTTGATTTATTGTAGAGACCAGGTCTTGCCAAGTTGCTCAGGCTGGTCTCAAACCCCTGGACTCAGGCAGTCCCTTCACCTGGGTCTCCCAAAGTGCTGGAATTATAGGCTTGAACCACCATGTCCAGCCTGCAATCCATTCTTATAAGGTCATGGGTTGTATTAGGTTAGAGTCAACCTTGACGACCTCATTTTAACTTAATTACCTTTTTTAAAGACCCGTTTCTACATACAGTCACATTCTGAGGAACCGAGGATTAGAACTTCAACATGTGAATTTTAGGGGGACACAATTCAGCCCACAGCAGAAAGAAAAATAGGACATTCACAGAACTTAAAAAAATGAACAAGGAGGAATAAACAAAAGGCAAAAAAACAGAAAAAGAAGGAAAAAAAATTACTGATTTTGGCAATGAATAATGAATGTTTTTGCATGTATGCCATGAGTTTCGATCCACAGAACATGTGTCAGTAACATCTCACTTCCCTCCCAGCATGACACAGGATATAGTAGGCAGGTCTTGATCTCAGAGGCAGCATCGAGACTCAAAGAGGTTTCCTGTCTTGCTTGTGAGTCAGGACTGAGTTGTGACTTGAATCCAGTTCTTTTGACTCTGACTAGTATTCTTTTCATTACTCCAAGCAGGGAGGTGCAAAGAAAATGAACCCCCTTGGGCAAATTCCTTGGCCTTTTTGATGTTGTTATTTTGTTTTGGAAACTTTGGGGATGAGAGGCATCATCTCCTTGTCAGCCGGTTGTGTTCTTGTTAGTTTTAACATTCGTAGTGCAGAAAATAAACACACAGGCGGAAAGCTGCAACTCTTTTGAGAAGTAAATATAAGTCACATTTCTGGGACGTCATTATCATGAACATTTTCTAGCATAAAAAAATAGAGAGATTGGTACAATGAACTACTATATTCTTCTTACCCAGATTCAGTCATCATTGAGATTTTGCTTAGTTGCTTCATCTATCCCTTTCTCCCTCTTAAAGCAAATCTAAGGTTACTTTCACCCTTTTCAGGATCCAACTTTAAAAAGAAATGGACATTTTTTTAATATACCCTTTATGCCACTCAAGAGTTTTCTGATTGCTTCAAAGTGACTATTGCCATTGGTTTATTCAGATCAGAATCCAAATAAGGACATTTGTTCAGCATATTAAGTTACGATTGACAATACATTTTTGTGCCTTTATTTGTCTCTTGTGCTTAGGGACACTTTGATTTCAGGTCTCTTCCGAGAAAGAGAAGATGTATTGATGGGGTTCATTTTGCTATATAGTTCTTGGTGATATTTTTTTGAAGTTTCAGAGCTCCTCACTGGACAGGGCATGTAATAACTCTTCTTTTAAAAAGTACAGTTTTGTTTTAGTTTTGAATGAATTTCCATGGTCTTCAAGAATCATCCAAACAATGATTTCTTTCTATGTACTAATCATCACCATATTTTTAAAAGGCAAAACCTTTTCGAGAAAAATGTAAGCAACAAGTAAACACAATAAACATAAAAGTTTTAATCCATCTTTACAAATTGCATTGGCATACATTTCAATGTATCCATGGTTCTTAACAAGCTTATTAACACTGACATTTTGGTCCACATTGAACATTGTTTTGTGAGATTATTTTCCCACCAGCTCACAAATGCAAAGCTGGGAAAACAAGTTGTTAAACATTTGCTTTTGTCAAAAGTTATTTTTACAGTTTACAGGAATGCTGCTAATGCCAGTTAGCAAAGATTCTGAATGCAACTGTTTGATGATGTCTTTTAAAATGTGGTATTCTTGTAATTTGCTAACATTTTGTTTCTTCCAATAGGTATAAATGACCAAGGATTATACAGAGTTGTGGGGGTGAGTTCAAAGGTCCAGAGACTTCTGAGTATGTTGATGGGTATGCCTCTTTTCTAATCATTTTTCCAAATATTTGTATATGTATATTGACTTAACAACTTGATATTTCATAGTAACGTAGAGAATACTTTCGACTCCATTTGTCTACTGTCTAGATGAGTTTTCTCCTGAGCAGAGAAAATTGACTCAGGGAAGTAGATTGGTATTTACATTGGCACAGGTGATCTGTTATCTCTTTACTTATTAAGAAATGAAAGAAAAAAAAAAAAGAATACACCTCTTGGTTGGGTGTCCTCCTGTGCTTGGTTCCCACAGGAAAATGGCAGTTAGGTCACTACGATTTGCGTGACTTCCAAATTGCCTGTCCGGAATTGTGACAGTACATTTGGTTGGACAAGACCAGTGGGACTCGCTCATTTTTCTGGAGTTTCCAAAACTGTCATTTGACAGCGAAAGTCTGATGCTCAGGGATTCATTGGTATTCACAGAGGCTTGTTTGTAGTTCACACCAGGCTCTCCTCCAGAACCATGCATGCTCCATCTGTGCTGATAACATAGTGTTCTTTGGCATCGCAGACTAGAGGAAGCCAGAAAGTGAATTCATTTCATTACCCCAGACATTATGTGAATGACAAAGCGCTTTTACATGACGCGCTGTTGTCAGTTCATGGTCACCTGTAAGACACTCAACTTACCCCACACCCCCAAACAGGCCTCTTGAGTGATGATATCTCATCAGGCTTGAGGGCCTGTGTATCAAACCAGTCTGCCATTATGATCTTGCTACATATTAATGTATGTGATATCTCATTTTAATTAATCAATATTAACAATGCTCTCTGGTATGCTGCGAATGCGTCCAAACCTGTCTGCGTCTTCAAGCATTGTAGCAAAGGCTACAATGGAATTTTTAGAAGCATAAACCAAAATGAGTAAAATCAACCAACATATTAGGGGTAGGATTGCTTGTTTGGCTGGATTTGAATTAAGGATTTAATAAGTTACAACCTTTTTTTAGCTATTAACCACAGGAAAAAATGCCCATCATCAATTGGAGGGCCTTATTAGAATACATTCGCTTTCATGAGCTATTTTCATTTTCTGCCTCTCTGGTTTAACTTGGGTGTGCAATTTTGGCAGTCACATTTTCCTTTTTACCATTAGTGGTCTCCAAATTAAATAGACTCAGGTTGCCAGTGGTTCAGTAGCAGCTGGAAGAGCTTAATGGGACTATAGCATCTGCTTTTACTTAATTTTAAAATTAGAAACACTTCTTTCATTTCCAAGATGGTGTTCTGATGATGAGAACTGGAAGAGCGTACTGGTACCAGAATGGGAAATTTTGGCAGAAAGGCACATTTTGTTGGTAAATTGGCCATAAGGATCCTGGCATTATTTTTATTATCTTCTCGCTCCTGTTCAAGGAAAGTTTGAACAGGGGTATTTCTGTGGTCACCCTGAAGTGTTAAACTGTCTCAAAATTTGTTCTTAACCTCATAAAATTCTACACATACTACGTTGCTGAATTCAGGGTGGTAGTTTCTGCTACTCATACTAAATGTCCCAAGACAGTCCTTAACTTACAAGGTGTTTTTAAATATCTAAACCCTTAAAAAATTCATGACCTGGAAAACTGTTTTTGCCTTTTGTGAGCTTTAGAGTAGAGAAGTCCTGGATGTAAACGTGATACAAACGCATTCTAGTTGCTGGCAACAGAAATGCTATATCTTTAGAAATGTCATTCAAAAAGCAGAGGAAAGTTAGAGAATTCATGGGAGACAAAGATATTGACCTGTTATTTAATCATTAGGCAATTTATTAAAGAGGACTACATAATATAATTTTGTTTTAAGCAATCTATAAATAATCCCTAGTATGAATTTAAGATTGTCAGTCAAAAACTTTGGATTTTCAGTAGTGTTAATACCATTTTCTTGTTACTTTGTTACCAACACAAACCTTAGTCCTTGACAAAATAGAGTCACTCACTATTAGCAGATTAATTTAAGATTTCCTTAAGGCTTTTCTTTTCTTTTATCCTGAATGAGTGTTCAAATGGAAATAATTTGATACTTCTTCCAAAAGCAAAAGAATTTTAGTGTTTTGAATAGTCACATCACACAATCCCATTAGATGCTCTTTTTCTCCCAATTTTTCCCACCTCTCTTTGACATTTCAAGGCTATATAAATATCCTGAAGAGAAAAAAAATTGGGTGGGTCTGCCAAATTTTTAACTGCTTTTTAAAACCAATCGATATTTAATTATTATTCCTGCAGGTAATATGTTTATTTCAAATCTGAATTTTTTTCAAAACACATTTTGTTTGTGGTGGATTTTTCTTCATAGGAATGGAAAATAATTTAATTTTTAAGTATCTAGAAAAAATTTTCAAGCAATTTAATTTATTTTATTTTTATTTTTAGACAGGGTCTTGCTCTGTCACCTAGCCTGGAGGCAGTGGCCCTGTGGCAGCTCACTGTAACCTCAAAGTCCTGTGCTTAAGTAATCCTCCCATCTCAGCCTCCCATATAACTGGGACTACAGGCATGCACTACTACACCAGGCGAATTTTTGTATTTTTTGTAGAGACAGGATCTCACTTTGTTGCTCAGGCTGGTGTCAGACTTCTGGCCTCAAGCAGTCCTCCCACCTCAGCCTCCCAGAGTGCTGGGATTACAGACATGAGCCACCCACCCGGCCCTCATTTGATATTTTTGGGGGAAAGCTGTCATTTACTTTACTTGATTCTCTTTAGTCCCAGAGAGCTAATTATTTGCTTTGGAGTTTTTTTGTTATTGTCATTTTTACATAGACTGTCGTGTATCGCTTGTTAAAATGTTTTAAGTGTTCTTTAAATATTCATATGTGTAAGTTTGTAATGATTTCTAAAGAAAGGGTATGTATGCTTAATCTCTCGCATGTTGTTTCACTTGTCTTCTTTTTCTGGTGTGTCTTTTTCCCTTCATATTTAATATGTAGAGAAAAATGTTTCTCTCCATTATTTTCCTTTTCTCCTTTCTTCTTCTCCCTCTTCTTCTTCTCCTCTCCCTCCACCTCCCTTTCCTCTTCCTCCTCTTCTACTCTTTTTTTATTCCTCCACTCCTTCCCCACCCTCCTCCTCCTCTCTCTTCACCCTCATTTCCTGCTAACACAAAATGGTAATGGAGTTTTTTTTTTTTTTTTTTAATGGAGTTGACCATAGCAAGTTCTCTAAACTGAGAAGCTGCATATACTTCCCTGGGCCAGGTAGGAGAGTGGGCAGCTGGCTTCTTCCCCCGTGATGAGCAGTCTTCCACCCCTGGCAAAGAAGAGAACAGTCTGCTGGATTTCCAGCAGCCTCGGAGCTTTTTCCTTGTTCACCAAAAAGTGACCGAGGCAGGTCTCAATCAATAGAGGTTTCTTTAGCTGAGGTTGAGAATGTGCTCGGAAAAACACAAGTCACAGGAGCATCTGTGACCTGTGCTTTTTCCAAAGGGACTTTTGGAACTTCCGTATATAAGGGGAAAAGAACAAGCAGGAGGGAGAGAATGGAGGCAGGGCAGGCAGTGAGGTAATGCTTACTGTTCTTGTGAAACTCTGATCAGCTTCTGTAAATCTATGTTTTACACGAGAAAAAGGAAAGTCAAGGAAATAGTCACTTCTGTCTTCACTTCAGGGTAGGCGAAGGGATGATTTCTGGTCTTGTTCTTGTCCTGTCCTTGTGAAGATGAGCTGGTCATTGCCATTGTCAGGGTGAGATTCAACAGGACTCTGTTTTAGGGCTAGTTTATGGGGGGAGATGTATTCTGGAAGATTTAGAGGCTTCCTCGAATGTCCTTGTGAGCAATTTGTGAGCGAGACCTCTTGGGAGAGATACGGCCTTCTATTGTGGTGGGAATCTGGCTTATGGATGAGTCTGTGACACGAAGTTGTGAAATGACAGCTAAAGAAAGGCACGATTGGATGACTTACTTCCCAGGCTTCACTTTCCCTTTGGCATGGTGAGTTTGGGGTCCAGAGATTGTTTCCCTTCATGCCCTGGACCAAGCTCTTAAGTTGCCAAAAGAAAATGCCCACATGAACAACTGCCTTTCTTTCGCTGATAGGTCATTTTCCTTTTCTTCCCCTTTGCAGTCTCTAAGACAGGGTCACAGTGTGGTGAACGTTGATTTTCTTTGTTTGTTTGAAGTAGAAGATTGGAGCAGTTGGGGAAAGCAGGGAGAAATAGCAGACAAGGTGTCTTTGGGTGACTCATGGTTTGGTATTAAATGGGATGAGAATGTCAAAGAGCACTTCCAGCAGTTCATGGTAGATTAGAACTGCCATGAGCTAAGAGCTGTCATGTGTTCCTTCTTCCTCACTTTAGAACAAAACATCAGAGCAGAGGAAGAGGAAATTGTGAGAAGTGTGGTAGGAGCTTGTGTGGTCTGGTAGATTCAGTGGTTATTTCTAAATCTAATTTGCAAAAAAGGCTGGACGATTTTATTTATTTTTAGATGTAGAACCATAGAAAACAAGGAATAAAAATAATTTAGAAGAGTTTTACTTGAAAAATATTACCTTGTTTTCTTTGTTTATGGGACAGCTTTGGTGCATCGATTGGAGAAAAAAGAGTGAACTAATGTAGCTGAAAAATCTGGTTTTTAAATTTTAAAACATATTTTCAAAATTCATCCATTCACTTTGCGTTTGCAAGTCCTTTGAAATTGGGCCCAAGTCAGTGTTGAGGAAGGCGCTAGCAACTGCAGAAAATGGCGCTTTGCATTTAGGTTGGACTGCAGATTTTCAGTTTCAAAAAAAATGACCAGTGGTTATGTAAGGGTGAAACCTTCATCCAAAGGAAAAAAGATCAGCTCTTTGTGTCTGTGCTTGTTAGTTTAGATTTTTTAGTAAATCCATGAGGTGTTCCTCAGTCAGAAAGAAAGTAACATTTTTTTACCCTTTGTATGGTAGAACACATACTCTGAATGAACACTCTACTTGTATTTTTATGTTTGAATCCCCAATAAGTTATTAAATTCTGCCTAGTCCTCGTGCATTCTGATTCTAAAGGACTGCTAGGAATGATTGAGCTATTTGAAAATAGTGAAAATTTAAGAGAGGATTAGTAGTATAGACACTGTATAGTCATTTGCGTCTGATGTGACAGCTGCTTTTTATTCCATGAATTTAGAAGGATGGCTTATTTTTCCATAGAGAGAATGTGATTCTCAAAATACAGAATGATAATTTGGTAGGAAGCTGGAAATAAAAAGCTTCCTTTAGAAACCTCTTGGATTTTAAAAAGGTGATTTGCTGATAGTGAGTTGATTGAAAATGTTATCTGACTTGTATGTTAAAATGAGATTTAAATAATTGATTTAATGAGAGAGAGAATATTCAGTTACCGAAGTAATTGGTTGGCAAAGCCTTTAGAACAGAATTATTTAGTCCTAGTTATAAAGGATTGCACCTTTAATCAGGGTGCTTAATTTGATTTCTTGAATGTATCTGTGGCTTGTCTGACAAGCTCAGTAACAAATGAGTTCTGAATTGTAGGAACTGATCAAAATGTAATCAGTGTCAATTGCCATTGTTGTAGTTTATTGCATATTGCTGTCAGTTGCTGTAATCAAGCAATGTTGAAGTGCTTTAAAAAGTCTCCAGACCTTTGAGTAATTGACTTCATGTGCACGATATTATGACTGTGAAATAACCATGTCTTCCTGTTTTACTTGATCCTCAAAAAGTTTGAGACCAACATTGAGTTGTCATCCATCCTTTATCATGCCCAAGCCTACAACTTTTTAAGTGGCATGATGACTTAATGCGGTGGTTCCATCTTGACAGGCTTTTCTTTTAAGTGCTTTTAAAAAGGAAATACTAACAAGATGTTTCCTTCTCTGTGTAGACAAATACAGTGTAAGGGAGGGGAAAAAAAAGTCCTGAAACAACTAGGTTTTTTTGGTCTTAGTTGAGTTCTGGACTGAGGGAGAAACAATCTCTTCCATGAATCTCTGATGTTATCCTTTGCATAATAGGAGTGTAGAAAACAGGCAAGTTGTCATTCATGGCTCGATATTGTCCCCCATAACCCATTTACTGCTCCTCCCTTGGAGTGGGTGCCATCACTGATTGCTTATACTTTTTAGTGACTCAGCTAAAAAAAGTGAGTAATAACGTGCTACGTTTAATGATTTATGAACGTCTGGGTGTATTCTTCGTTTGCTTTGATGGTCTCAATAGTTTTGGGAGAGCATTAATGTTATCTTCACTGCAGATGAAAACCTAAGTTCAGATGGGTTGGAACTCACTCGCTTGGGGTGGTGTGTCTGGTCTAGGATGGTGCAGGCATTTAAGCTTGTCTTTGTAATACCAGTGCTGCACCCCTCCCTGCTTCCATGTCACAACTGAATGTACAGAGTTACAAGGTTCAAAGATGCCCCCATACTCAGAGCGTTTGCCCTTCCCACTATCCTTTCACTTTATTTCCACTAGGACTGACTTTTTCCTTTCCATATTTACTAACTCTTACAGCTCCATTCCTTTTGTGTGTGTGTGTGTGTGTGTGTGTGTGTGTGTGTGTGTGTGTGTGTGCATGTGCATGCCACATACCTTTTCTTTAGAGTGTACTGGCCATTTGAAAGTGTATTTGGAAGAAATTCATCATTACCACACTAGGACAAAGGAAACTAGTTTGATTTAGAATGGACATCAGGAGTGTTACACAGAGGCTTCCGATAAGTGTTTCCTGGATGAGTCTATACGCTGTAGTGTTCATGGGAAAAATTGCTGGTAAATGACTCTTTGAGATTATGTGTAGTCATGTTTCTGTTTTGGTTGATCACACATTAATCTCAGAAAGATAATACAATGAACACAAATATTGAAAGTGTGGGGCCACGTTCCTTGTTGGTGTGTTGCCATTCTGATAGTCATGTTGACATTCACGGTGCTGCCCTCAGTTTCCCCTGTCATAACACCGTGTAGGAGCAATAATGCCACCAGAAGCAAGTTAAACCATTGGCATCCAACTGAAAATACCACAGTCTCCAGGCCATGGCTACGGAGTAATACCATTAACGATGATGATGAGAATAGCCACCCATGACTTCAACTCATGGATGATGACATGCCCTACTTTGTCTAATTCTTCCACACTCCCCTCCCAACACTTATTCTTTTGCTTTGTTCTCTACTCTGGATTTTCTGAAGTGCTAGCAATGTCTAGTAATAGAATGTGGCTTACTGTATTTTGAAGAAATTGTATGTAATGTTTTTGTAGGAAACCACGGCTTAATTATGTGTGGTTTGCTCCTTTAAAAATCAAAGCTTTGTGAGCTAGTCAAAAGGGCCTTTGGGTGTTCATGGTTTTAATCATTTTCTCTTGTTTGCTTGCTCTCTAGATGCAAAAACGTGTAATGAAGTGGACCTGGAGAATTCTGTAGATTGGGAAGTGAAGACAATAACAAGCGCCCTGAAACAGTATTTGAGGTAAGCTGCTCTTGGCAATAGGAGGGAAGGATGGACTATTTGGATATGTAACATAAATAGATGCCGACACTGTACATAAATATCAATAGTTAATTTAAGCCTTACTAAAAAGGAGAGAATTTATGAGGTGTTTATCTGAGTGTCCCAGAAAGTAAGGTACATAGTAGATGAATATCAGTTTATTAAGTAAATCACAGTGGAACAGAAATTGGAATAGACTTGGGTTTTGAAATAGATATCTACCATGGATATGCATTTTAGGAATTAAACACTATGAAACAAGTGAATAGGGAGGGCGGGGCACAGGGGTTGTGCTGTTTTTTGGTCAAAAACTGCTGAACACTCAGTGTGCTGTGGGCAGGTTGTTCATGTAAATCACCCATCATGATGTGTTGAAAGAATCTCAAAAAAAAGTCACTGAAACTGAATGCAGCCTCTCACAACAACCCTAGCTGGTAGACTGATGCCGATGGGTTCCTAGAACACTTACCTAGCAGGGGAAACCTGTACTACCAAGGACCCACCCTCTAAAAGATAATTTTTTTGCATTCTCCCACCTCTTGTAAATTATAATTTAAATGATTTAAACTTAAAGGCTTGTGATAATACATGAACTCAGAGTTATTTGAAAATAAGTTTAGTTGATGAGATTTTAGATGAACTTAAGCTTTCCATCTATTGTGGAATATTTAGGGCTAGAATTAGAAGAGGGCTTAGCATTTTTATGAATCTTTATCCTTTTTTTCTATTTTCAAAAAGACACTTAATGATAAGCTTGGGATTAGATAAAGAACAAGTATACAGGGAGTGAAAAACAGTAAGTAAAAGAATGAAAAATATCACAACTATCATTTTCCTGATATGGTTCTTTTGGAGACTTGGATTTCTGTGTGGCAAATGGCGGGGCTCTCCTAGGATCGGGTCTTTCTAACCACACGTAGGGTTGTTTTTCAGTTCAAAATTTCTTGGATTTCCCATGAATACACTAGATTCAACTTATATTACATATTTTGTGCTTTTTAAAAAAATTATGAAAAATTTGAAACACATAAAAGCAGAGAGATTTGTGTGAGATCCAATTACCCTCTTTCTTGAGTTCTCAACATTCTAACCTTATTGATCCATCAGTCTCCCTTTCTGCCACTTCTTTTAGGTAATACTCTAAAGATTTTTCCAAAACTTATTACTATACCCGTAAATACTTGAGTATTTATCTCAAAAAAAGATAGACTTAGAAAAAGACAATCAGTATAATTACCATATACACCAAAGTTAATATCATCCAGTATGCTGTCCATGTTCAATCTTTACCCATCTTTTTTTTTTTTAAGTGATTTTATAGCTGAACTCGTTAACTCAGCCTGTAATCCCACGCCTTTGGGAGGCTGAGGTGAGTGGATTGCCTGAGCCCGTGGGTTCCAGACCCGCCTGGGCAGCAAGACCTCATCTCTACAGTAAATCGAAAAATCAGCTGGGCGTGGTAGCGCGCGCCTGTAGTTCCGGCTACTTGGAAGGCTGAGGCGGAAGGGATTGCCGGAGCCCA